TTTTTTCTTATCAGTTTTGTATATTAGGGTTGTGTGTTACACCTAATGTTGTTAAATGAATGTTTATTGCATTATTTCAGTTTCATGTGTGTTACCGTGATGGTGTTTAGTGTTTGTGTGAATGACACTGTGCACCTTCTATATATGAATCTATTATTTAAAAGCTGATGTGACTTTCTCATCACCACCTGCATTTGGTGGTTATCAGTGTATTACAAAGGTGCAAAACAGATTTTAGTACTTCAATAGGTTGGTATATTAACATTATATCAGTTAATGAAATTACGGTATGTAACTGTAAATTTAAGTTAAAACCGTAAAACCTAAAACGTTGCTACCGTATTTTTTACGGTAAAATTCCGGTAACCACAGCTGCCGTTTTTTTACCGTAAATTTTACGGATTATTTTTTACAGTGTAGGCTATCTCATCCGTCTCATATGTCCTGTTGATTTCGTGATAGGGAATCGCCTGCCGCAGTGGAAACACTAGACGCTCGAATGTAATTGTAAGGCCCAACAAAGTTGCTCTTTGCTGGTTATAAAATTGCACAGTCATGCTTTTGGGTGCTTAGACAGTGCGCCGCGGATGCTTCAACCCAGGCTGCGAGCCAATATAGCGGCCTGCAGAGATGCTGAGTCAGCGCCAGAGAGACGGGACACAACACAGCTCGATTACCGGAGCAAACAAACGGGAATGTTAGACAGATAGTACTACAAGATATGCGCTCGGGTGTTTGTGTGTGCTGGAACAACATTTTTTATTATTTTTTCTACACTGAGAAACATAAGCATACTGGCACTAGAAAGATGCGTGCTTTATTTCCGTCTCTTTTTGGTTTGGTGTTCGTGAGGGTAATTAAAGACGTATTCGGACGACTGTTTGGAACGCTGATTTGAGTATTGCATTTCTCACTCAAGCAGCATCTCTCTCCTCCCTCTCCTCACACGCGCGCTCTTCCCTCAGATCTTCACTCATTGCAGGGTGTAAATCACAAGCTCCGCCCCTCTGCAGCACACGACTGACTGCACGAGGCAAAAGTGAGGCCGATGTCTTATTTACTGAGCCTCAGTGTCAGGGTGAAGGATGAGGCGAGGACTCAATTGCAGGAAGTCTGGGCTCTTTTATTAATAATAAAACAGAAACAAAACGCTCCCATTGAAAACAAGACATGTCAGGAGTGTCGGAGCTCTGTCACAAAACCACAAGAACCCTGACAATCAGTCTGAGAAAGATATTGCAAAACACACATTTGTTTTTCTCTGCAATGTTTTCATACTAAGCAAATGATATTTTATACCCCCTAACACTCGTATAAAGTTTCTGCATTTCTAGATTTTCATTAGCACATTATTGAGTCTGTTTGAATTTCATCAGGGCATTTTTGAGCCTAATATGCCGTTTTCCTCGTGAGGACCGTTGGCTGTTCAACACTGTGGGTGATTTCATGCCTACTAGTCTTGTGGGGAAACGTGCTCCCTATAATGTAGGCAAAACAGAATTTTCGTTAGCTTTATACATCTATATAATAAATAAGGAACTATAGGGTAATAAAATAGGGGAAGAAGCCCCCCCTTAAAGGGGTCATATAATGCTATGTGCACTTGAACAAGTTGTTTGAACTGAAATGTGTGTTGGCAGTGTGTGTACACAACCACCCTAAAATGATAAAAATCCACCCAGTGGTTTTTTGTTAATCTACTAAAATCTTTACCCCTTTCTCAAATTGAGCCGATCTCAGATGCCTGTCTGTGTGACGTCACACAGACAGGCCCCTCCCACGATAGTTTGATTGACAGTAGCGTTTCAGCACAGACTGGACTGGCGTCTTACCTTAGCTCCGCCCTGAGTGAGCTGTCATCAGTCCGCCATTGTTTCACCGCCGGAGCAGATGTAGACAAGAATGACTCCTAACAAGTGATTGAGGTGTTCTGTTGTTGGATGTAATAATGAACATAGCAGTCGTCATTTACTCCCGACATCTGAGCCGCTGAAGACGCAGTGGATTACGTTTGTTTCTGAAGTGAATGCGTCTATGTTTGCGCGAATCATTCATGATCCAGCTTCACCTACAGAAGAAGGGAGTGTAAGGTTTTTTTAACGAATCTCAGCAAATCGCCTTTCCTAATAATGTGCTAATTAGCAAGTTTCACGATGAAGTAAACAGTCTCTAGGAGAGCGGCTCGGAAGAGAGGGGCGGGGTCAGCAGAGCTCATTAACATTTAAAGGAAAATGCTGCAAATCTGCTTGCTCTGAAAAGAGCTGTTTTTGACAGGGTAAAAAAGGTGTTTTTACACTACCATTGAGAAATTTTAACCAAACTATTTTACAGACTTTTCATTAAGACCCTAAAGAATCATAAAAACTTTTTATTTTTTTTACATTTTTTGCAGCTTAGTTTGAATAAAGGCTCTTTTTTGAGCTAAACTTGAAGCTTTGAGTTATGAAAGTTACTGTATGTTTTCATACAGTGAAATCTTATTTCAGGATGAGTAAAATGTGATTTCTCGTGATATGATCATTGTACATTGTACTCGGAACATTGTTTGCGTTACATTTTCATCCCCCTTCACGCCAAATGATGACATGATTTTACAAAACTATTGTTGTTGATATTACAATCATGTGTATGTTCATTGCTATGTGTAATTTATGTGTTTAGCCACGTTTGGACATGCACACGCATGTTAGCTCAGTGTGTTTTACGGATTATGTTTATGGCATACTTGAATGCAGTTACTTTGTTTGCACTTTTCACACTCACCTATGCAAATTAAAATCACTATACAGCAGCAACCTAATGATCTATTAACACCGTCACTAACACTATCACAAGAGACAAAATCAATAGCTGAAAATCTGATCAAATTACTGTGGATTCAATTGAACAGACCTGTGAATGTATGGCGCCCCCTATTGGTGTGATAGCATGAAGCATAACACTGAATGTACGCAAGATCCAGGGGGCGTGGTTGGATCCAGATCCAACTCCTCCCTCCTATGTAGGCCACGCCCACACAGGGGATAAACAATCCAACACTCTCCATTGACTGTCTACTGCGGGAAGCTGCCTCCTTGTCATCTCTGACTTATGACAAAAAACAGAGCAATGC